ACATTAAATGTCATGTCGGAGTCACAATCCAAGGCTGTCGCTATGTTAAGGCTGTTTTTCCTAAAAACCTGTCGGATAGCAAGGTTTTGGATTGTTAAGGGTCGGATTATCGAGTCACGACTGTATATGACATTTTTAAAATATATTAACCAATTAGAAGAATCAGAAGAAGGCCATGATGTCAGTAGATCGGCTGCAGTACCTGGTTGCTCCACCAGAGCTCACAGTCTGTACTTGTACAGGACTGTGCTCCCCAAATCAGATGGCCAACGTAGTGAACTGGTCTTGCAGTGTGTCGTCCGTCACCTGCCAAACAGGTGTCTTAACTGGAATGGTCCTCTGAGCACATGACGAGCTGCTCACCAGCTGCCCCCTAGTGGGGATTTAACAGCACCTTCAACGGATGCAGGCCTGGCTGAGGGTCCAATCAGACAGGCCACCACCCTCTGACAAGAACGTGTAAATTCGCATGCAGTTGCAAATTTTGAACAGTCATCAATGGGAGATCTGGTTGGTCCCAGTTTGTCTTAAACCCCTGAGCTCTGCTTGGAGGTCCTGAACCTCCTCAGAGTCTCTGTCATGGTCCCGTTGCTGCTAAACTCCCACAATGCTCTCTGCTGCCACCAGGAGCTGTAGTCTGTAGACGCCTCCTCTGGTCTCTACAGGACTAAACAGGGAGAGGCTCCCCCTGGTGGAACAACCAGGTACTGCAGCTGGTCTATGATACGTTTACTGACATCATGAGCTTCTTCTGCCTCATCAGTTAATATATTTTTAATTAGGTAAATTATGAACGGCAATCAACCGATCAGTGATGAGTTAAACTTCCAACTTGGTACCTGTGGTTAGAACTTCTAATAAGAAGTTATTTTATGATTTATTTTCATTTCTTATTTGTGAGTAGCATCCACTTCCCTCCTTTTTGTGTGACTTGTTTTTGTTTTGTTTACCGACTTCAATAAATTCACAGTAAACTTTGGAGCAACATCTGCTTTTTTTATTTGTTACTTCTTTTTACGATAAATATTTTTAAATCCTGTGTCCATAGTTGATTAGTTCAAGGTCAATCAGAGCAGGTATTGGGTAGCAAAGTGATAACCATGGACCAGTCTATAGCCCAACAAGGAACCGCCTCGGCACTGAAACTCACTGAAAGTTCTGGTGTTTTAATTTTAAAGTGACATTTATTTGTAAAGATGATTTTCTCGGGGGCTGCAGGTGGATCAGTGGTCAGCACCGTTAGCACCTCACAGCTAGAAGGTCGCCGGTTGGCGTCCCGGTGAGGACACCCGGGATCTTCCTGCGTGGAGTCTCCATGTTCTCCCCGTGCAGCGTGGGTTCTCTCCGGGTTCTCCGGCTTCCTCCCACAGTCCAGAAACATGCTGAGGTTAATTGGTGATTGTAAATTGTCCGTAGGTGTGAATGTGAGTGTGCTTGGTTGTCTGTCTCTAAGTGTAGCCCTGTGATAGACTGGTTACCTGTCCAGGTGAACCTGCCTTCACCCTGAGTCAGCTGGGATAGGCTCCGCCTCCCTAGTGAGGATTAAGGTGTAGAGATGATGCATGCATGGATGGATGATTTTCTCTGGCTTTTGGCCTGTACTGGAGGGACAGTGTAGAGAGACGAGTGGGGGAAGGACCTGCAGCAGATGAGCTGCTGTGTCGGGCCTGTAGCCCTGGACGTGGGCGCCATCTATCCGGTCCAGGTTCCGGGGCGCCCAGTTCACCGTCAAATTTAAATGTGTTTTTAAATAAATGTCTTTGAACAGCTGGTAAAACAAATCAGTCGTCAACATGGAAAGCAGAAGGTGGTTCTGGGATATGATGCAGTTGTCTCCACCTGTCCTCCTGCAGGTTCGTCCTTCCTGTTTGTGAACACGTCTGGCCGATATGGCGGTCAGCGTGCTCAGCTGCTGCTGCCGCCGCTCAAAGAGAACGACACGCACTGCGTCAGCTTCCTGTTCTACCAGGCGGGAGGCCGCGAGGGCGCCACGCCGGCCACGCTCAACGTCTACATCAGAGGTACACAGGAGTACTGCGAGTTACTGCCACAGTGCTGAAGTCTCTCAGGTGTGTCAGTGGAGAGGCGGAGATCTCAGGTGTGTTCACAGTGTTTGTTTTACCTGCAGAGAACAACAGTCCTCTGGCAGTTCCAGTATTTAACTCATCAGGCCCCGCCTACCACATCTGGAAGGGGGTGGAGCTTGCAGTGTCCACCTTCTGGCCCAATCACTACCAGGTAATACACACAACTCACTTTTACTGCTCAATAACTGTTAGCACTTTCACCAGGTCATACCGGGTTGTACCGGGTCGTACCGGGTAGTACCAGGTCGTACATGGTCGTACATGGTAGTATCAGGCCGTATCTGCTAGTATCAGCTCCTTTAAGGTATTTTAAGGTAGTGGCAGGTCGTATTTTTGGGTGAAGCAGGTTCAGATGGTCAGTGAGCAGGTGCAGTAAAGCTTAAACCTGATTGGCTCGACCAGCATACAGTTGTTGTGTCATCATTAACAGACATGTGTGATGTCATCAATATACATCATTCTTGCCAATCCAGAGCTGACTCTGGTTCTCACCTGAACAGGACACCAGGTGTGAAGCGTCAGACAGCCCTTTTCAGGCTTTGTCCCAAAGTGAGGACCGGCCTGAGGGTCCTCACAGCGTCGGAAACTCAGATGGTCCTCACAGAGATGGACAGTCAGGCACACTCACACATGCGCTGGATGTGGTTGATCCGTATTGAAAACTCTTTTATGTGCCTTTAAAAGCCCAAAACCTCAAGAGAGCTGCAGCTAATTGGTTCAACACACACACA